CCCCCCCCTTGAGCTGAAGTACTTGTGGGCATCAGCTGGTCTTCCTCCCCTCTTCCAGTGATTTTTTTTTTTTTTTTTAATATTGCTTCTGTTAGGGTGGAAAGTAATCTTCCTTGACTCTTAGCTTACTTCCTGGGCAAAACTTAAAAGTTTTGGAGGTTCTTCTTTTCTGCAAACCCTTCTAAGTCTTGATTGTCTTCTACTGTTGTCTTCTCATGATGTTTTCAATGATCCATTCTCAAAGTTAACTTTTCATATTTAACTGTTTGGGTTGAGAGTAGGTTCTGTAATGATCATAGAGTAATTCAGGTTGGAAGGAACCTCAGGAGTTCCCTAAGGTAAGGCTAATTTTAATGTTAAATCAGATTGCTCAGGGCCTCGTCCAGTTGAATTTTATATTATTTGAATATGCTTCAGTTTTTAATGAGAGAAAAATGTGACCTCGTATGTCATAAGACTTTCATGTTATGTTTGAGGTATTTTATTTCTATTTCTTAATACACTTCTAGAAAGGGTGAAGAAAATTTTTTGTAGCGTTTGAGCTTACAGGGCTCAGACTGTGTGCAAGTGATCTGTGCCCTTACAAGGCAGGGGGTGTGTGTGTGATTAGGTACAGATGGTTGTATTGACTAGGGATTGTAACTGGCATGTTTTGTGAAAAAAATCTTACAGGAGAAGTCAGTAAGAAGACATTTGTAATTATTAAAGTTGTAGGAAGAAAATTCAATTAGGATACTTCCTAACTGCTGTAACTGGTTAACCACATGCTAGAATGTAACATGATACCAGAAATATTCACAAGTTAATGGAAAGAAGCAGTTTCTTTTATCTTTTGGGGCACTTCTAAAGACCTTGGAACCTTGGATTAGGAATGTAATTTGTAGTGTTTTTTTTTTTTTGTATTGATAGTTCCTAACCTATTTGGGCTTTTTTAAAGGTGCCGTCCTATGTTTGAAACAGTATTAATACTCTTCCTGTTGTCCTCTCAAGCTAAAATACATCTACATAACACAAAGTAGAAACTAAGTGACAGTTGCCAGGTGGTATGACTGCGTATTGCATAATAACCTAACTAACCCTCCAAGATAAAGGGTTCTAAACTTTCCATAATAACATGCTGATAATGCTTGATTTTTCTCCTCCCTCCATCTGCAATAAAGGTTATGTTGTCTTGGGGAAGTAAAAGCTGATGTTAATAGTGTCACCATCTTATTTTTGTTAATATCTACCTGAAATGAGAAGGCTAGTAGCAAAATGAAGAATAGAATGCAAGTTTTCTGGTTCTTAGGGAAATGCTATTTCTGCTATACTTCCCTTTTCCTCATGGTCATCACTGAGCTTGACATCCATCTGTTATATTTCATATGCTCAGCAAAATGAGGCCCTGACATCAGGGGTTATCGCTATGTAATAATGGAGTGTAACTTTAATACAACAAATCAGAGCTGCTCATTTTCCCAAAAACGCAACCTTCTTTTTGAGAAAGTGACTAGAAATATTTATTACATGATAGCAAAATGAGTATTTTTCAAGTGAACTTTGAAGTGCTGTAGCTCAGAAAAAATATATGTATATATAGATTTTATGGCCACTTCTGCTTGCCGCCCTTTTTTTTTTTTTTTTTTTTTTTTTAAATCAAGTGAGTTGTTCAGATTTCCCCAAGTAGGGGTTTAGAAGGCGTCTATTCAAACAAAATTCTTGTCAGCTATGAGGTAGGTAAGTCATTTTGTTAATATGACAATTTATTGACTTAATTTTGTGAGGATGCATCATTCTAGTAACTAGATAAAGATACTTTGTTGTGTGAGGAAATAAGTTGCTTTTGTTTGAGCTGTTTTCTACCAACTTTAGTGATAGCTCTAAGTATAAAGTGTATTACATAAGCTGATTTAGCAAACTTCACTAAGGCATTAGTTCTCATTCGTTGAAGCAATATAAGATGTATAAACTAATGAATATGTAGGTCTGGGGTTGTTAGTTTGATGATCATAAATAGCATATTATTGGATTGCTTAGTACTTAATCTGTTCCTTGCCTCATCTCCTTTTTTTACTCTTGTAAACCATTGCATCCTTATTATTCTTCATTAATAGTGTACCCCTGTTTATTAAACAAAAGCACTGCAGTGCTAAATCTGATGGTTTTGGAAGTTTTGGTCTGATAAATGCTGACTTCCCCTTGTAGTTTGTCACATGACTTATTGCTAAATTATACACAAAGTGTGATTGATTATACATGGTCTGAAGTATTCAGCCTCTAATTTTCACTTCAAGTTGTCAGCAGTTCTAATGAATTCATAACACTGTCTTCACTCAAACAGTCACGCTTTTTAAAATAAAAACAAGGTAGGGTTAAATACTTTCAAGAACATCTTGGAGGTTAGCTGACTAGAAACTCACGACTAGAACTGTCACTGTTTCAGTTAAATGTGCTGCAATTTAACCTTGAACTAGGTTAAAGCTAGGGAAGAGCTTACATGCAAATCCTTCAGTTGAGAGAAGAAGAAACCTGAATGGTTTTATCCAGCTCTGAATTTGTAAGGAAGGCTCATCTTTTTTGAAATGGATCTATTTCTGTAAGATTTTGTCGGTCTCATTCTGAAACTCTCTGCAGTCCCTCCTGAGGAAGTCTGCACTGTTACTTCTAAGGGAATATGACCTTTCAGGGTAACGTAGTGCAGGTAACTATTATTTCAGGGAAATGGAGTTGATGAGACTAATCCTGCTTGATGAAGGCTCTCATTTGGCAAGTAGACAAGCCTTGCCTTGGCGAGACCTCAGTTAATGAGTTGGGCACCAGTAAAAAGCTTTTTCTTCTCTAAGAATGCTGTCTTTTGTGTTTCACCTTTCAGTAAACAGATCTAGGTTGGGAATACTACATTTGACTGGTTAACTTGTAATAGGCTGTCACTTAACTTTAATCAAAGCAGCTTTTTATGTTCTTTCTATGTTGATTGTGTTGCTCAAATACAAGAATAAAACTTTTGGATAATGAGAAATGGGAATCTCGTCTTCTTAATTAAACTATAATGGCAATTTTCATAAATTGTTATGTTCTTATATGTATTTATTCTGACTTCAGATCTCTTACATAAGCTACTCTTTTGCAGATTTAGTCTCTCTGATATTTTGTGAAGGGCTGTGAAAGTAATTAATGTGACATCCTTTGTGTATATGATGTTAAACGCTAAAACTTTTTTCTTCTTTTAAACCATACTATTTTACTTGCCCATTTCACAACAATCTGAAGAATGTTAGCTACTTTTTTGAGTTCAAGAAGCAATAGAGTTAATATTCTCAAATCCTTAGCTACAACAAAATTAAGTTAGAACTCCTTAGACCTTCACTCATAGGAAATGTTTCCTTCATTGCATGTATATTCAAAGAAGCAGATTCTCCTTCCTGTAAGAAGAGTAAGAGTCAACTTGTTTTTTTTGCCCGGAGTAAAATGCTTCCTCCCTTAACTA